CTCCAGCGATCCTTCCGAGTAGCCGGAATTACAGGCACACGCTACCATGCCCAGCTGATGTTTTGATTTATTTTAGAGATGAGGTCTCACCAAGTTGCCCAGGCGGGTCTCGAACCCGCGGACTCAGGCAATCCACCCACCTCAGCCTCCCAAAGGCGCGGGATTATAGGCTGAGCCACTGAGCCCGGCAATTTCGTTCTTTTTTATGGCTGAGTAGCATTCCAGTGTGTGTGTGTGTGTGTGTGTGTGTGTGTGTGTGTGTGTGTGTGTGTGTGATTTTCCCTATCTGTTCATCCATTGATGGACCCGTAGGTTGATCCCATATCTTTGCTCTTGTGAATAATGCTGCAGTAAACATACAAGTGCGAAAACTCCCTTTATTTCTGATTTTACTGTCACTCTCTGCCAGGCAGCACTGTGGGGGAAAGAGAGGTGAGCTATGGCCAGTCTCTAAATTGCAAACGCACAGTCACTTTTGCCTCCCTCCCTTTACCACCTGCTCTTTCAAAATATCTCTTGTTTTTTCACTTCTTCCTATTCCCATTGTCACAATCCTCTCCGCCTTGGGTTTCAGTTACTAAAGTTGCCGCCAACCGCACTTGTGGGCCTGGGGACCACCTTCCGTGTCAGAATCCTGTCTGTGAAACCTCTCTGTCTCTCAGCCTTGGCTGCCACTACTGGTCTGGCCTAAGTGCCAACTCACTCCGCCTTCCATTCTGTCCTGTTCACTTTTGACAGACTAATCACCGTCTTCAAACACCACATTCACGAGGCCACCTCCCTGCCTAAAAGCCTTTTGTAGCAACTTTCTGCTCCACCCTGCCCAGATGCCCTGCTCTGCTCCCTGTGGTAAGCCCTTCATTTCTGTGAGGCCAGTCAGTCCTCCTGAGGTTCAACAAGGCAGACACACTTATTTTAGGCGGGCCTCCTCGTTTACACCATTCTTGTCACCTATACACCTTTCCCTAATCTCTCATCCAAGCCCTGCCTGTCTCTCAAAGTCCTGTGCTCTCCATGAAGCTCCGACAGACACAAAATCCTTTCCTCCAGGGACCTCTCTATTCCACAGTGGTGCTCTCTCTGATAATCATTTCGGAACGAAATTATGTAAACAGTTTGTTGAGCATTCTTTTTTTTTTTTTTTTTTTTGAGTTGGAGTCTCACTCTGTCGCCCAGACTGGAGTGCAGTGGCTGCTCCCGGCCACCGCAGCCTCGGCCTGCTGAGGTCCGGCGATCCTTCTGCCTCAGCCTTCCAAGTAGCTGGAACTACAGGTGTGCGCTACCACGCCCGGCTAATTTTTGATTTATTGTAGAGATGAGGTCTCACCAAGCTCTCGAACCCGCGGGCTCAGGCAATTCACCCACCTCAGCCTGCCAAAGCGCGGAATTACAGGCTGAACCACCGAGCCTGGCGAGCATTCTTAACGTGTAGCCTTTTTTCTATCCCTTAATGTCTTGGGCAGAATCTATAATGTTACAAGTTTTGATGACTAAAACTTGTTTTTACAAAATTACAAGACACACACACACACACACACACACACACACACACACACAAATTCAGTCTACTCCAGTTTAAAACGCCAGATGCCCTATCTGGTTCAAAGTTCCTCTCTCCCCCACCCACCAGGTCAGAGCTTAGACCTTGGCTCCAGAGGTGGGGAGGGATTAGGGGAGGTGGAAGATGGGACAAACTGGGGGCGCTGGAGGGAGGGAGCAGTAAGAATCATGGTCAGTCACTGAGAAGACTTCCCCTCTTTTTTCAAGACACAGTGCTGCTGGTGTTGTTACTTAACCACTTGTCTTGGGGAAGGAGTGGTGATCCCAGCATGCCCTGAGGTTTAGTCAACCTCTATCTGACGCTGGGGGCCCCTGCTGACATGTGTTCTTTGCACATCAGTAAACATGGTTTCTCAGGGGAGGGGGTCCCTTTTGTGCTGAGGTTCCCCTCAGAAGGGCCCTTCCCCGTACCACGCCTCCCTCTGTGGCACTGGGTGTTTGCAAATACTTTTCTGGAGTGAGTGTCCCACTACTTGACTCTGGCAAGTAACTAGATAGTTTCGGCCTCTGATTCCTCCTCCCCCAGAAAGTGCTGAACTTCCCTTCCACAGCCTTCTGGGCTGTGAAGATCCAATATGGGGCAGGGTGGTGACATCCCCTCCCAGGTACATTACACCACAAACAGTTCCAACGACCTTCAGAAATCTCTGGGCCAAAAACGGGCAACCACTTGACTTGACTTCCACCCCTTAACTGTAGGGCGTATGGCATCAGCCGGGGAAGGAGACCAGGCCCCGGTCACCATGAGTGACTCCCCTCCAGCCCACTCTTACTCTGAAACACCTCTCCAGGAGGACTGTCATCCTCTGAGCCTCTCTTCTTCCCTCATCTCCTTATGTAATCTAAGTTGAGATGGGTTTTTGGCAGTTGCAATCAAGAGTTCCAATAAATACAAACTCATATTCACACCATACACGAAAATACATTTCTGATGGATTAACTTTTAAGAACAAAAGGGCAGAAATATTAGTATACAATATAGAAGAAAATTTATATAATTTGGGGGGTAGGAACTAACCTTTCTAAAAATTGCACAAAATCCAGTGGCCGTAAAGGAAAAGATAGGCTAGGCGTGGCTCATGCCTGTAATCCCAGCACTTTGGAAGTCCAAGGCCGGAGAATCGCTTGAGTCCAGGAGTTCTAGAACAGCCTGGGCAACATAATGAGACATTGTTTCTACAAAAAAAAGTTCAAACATTTAGCTAGGTGTGGTAGTGCACCTGCAGTCCCAGCTAACCCAGAGGCTGAGGTGGAAGAACTGCTTGAGCCCAGGAGGCTGAGGCTATGGTGAGCCAAAATTGTGCCACTGTACACCAGCCTGGGCAACAGAGTGAGACCCTGTCTCAAAAAAAAAAAAAAAAAAAAGAAAAGAAAATCAGCCAGGCGTGGTAGCGCATGCCTGTAATTCTGGCTACTTGGAAGGCTGAGGCGGAAGGATCGCCGGAGCCCAGCAGGTCGAGGCTGCGGTGGCCGGGAGCAGCCACTGCACTCCAGTCTGGGCGACAGAGTGAGACTCCAACTCAAAAAAAAAAAAAAAAGGAAAGCATAGACATGTTTTACCTACATAAAAATTACTTCTGCATGACATAAGACACCACAAACAATATAATAAAAACAAATATCAGGCTGAAGAGAGTGAATATCCCTAACATACAAAAAGCACCTACAAATAAGGAAAAGAGAAATAATTTTTTTAATTTAAAAAAGAGCAAAATAGGCCTCAATAAAGTTAAGAAAATCCTCAGATTCACCAGTAAAAAAGAGAAACACACTTTCCCTCAACAGATGATTAAATCTTAAAAACATGAATGATACCTGGTGCTATGTTAGGAGGAGAGAGAACCAGCTCTCCCACCTGTTGATGTAGCATCTTGAAAAGACAACTTGATGATGTCTGTGATAATGTGAACATACCTACTGTCCTGGCAATTCCCCTTCAAGAAATCTACCCACAGAAGTACTTATAGAAGTGCACAACTGTATGATAGAAACTAGTGGCGACCCCAAGCGCCAAGCCATAGCAACTGGTTCAGTAAATTGTATCTATACCGTGAAACACTATGCAGCTGTTAAAAGAAGGGAGTGGGAGATCTGAATGTGCCGTCATGGGAAAATGGTCATGATATGGTGTTATTAGAAAAGTCAGCTGGGCTCTGTGGCTCAGCCTCTAATCCCGTGCCTTTGGGAGGCTGAGGTGAGTGGATTGCCTGAGCCCGCGGGTTCGAGACCCGCCTGAGCAACTTGGCGAGACCTCATCTCTACAATAAACCAAAAAAATCAGCCGGGCGTGGTAGCGTATGCCTGTAGTTCCAGCTACTTGGAAGGCTAAGGCGGAAGGATTGCCTGAGCCCAGTAGGTTGAGGCTGCGGGGGCCAGGAGCGGCCACTGCCCTCCAGTCTGGGCGACAGAGTGAGACTCCAACTCAAAAAAAAAAAGAAAAAAAGAAAAATCAATCCGTGGAGCGATATGTAGAGAGAGATATAGATATTAAGGGCTTAAATATCATAAAGGTAAGGAGTGCAGGCTACGGAACCAAGATGCCTGGATTTGAATTCTGGCCCATAGCATACCAGCAGGGTACTCAGGTGACTCTCTTTAGCGCTCTGTGTCTCAGTATCCCCTTAATAATGAGAATTTGTAAGTTATTGGGCATAAAACCTTTAGAATAGGGCTGGCACATAGTAAATTCTATAGAAATGTGAGCTATAATAATAATTCTGTGTATGCTAATGTATTAAGAGGGGTCACCCTGAAGAGCAGACAGAGCTGGGGTGTAATGGGAGTCCCTCGCTTCCTGCTTTACCTTGCTATGTTTTTTTTTTAACTCGATGAGAGCATGAATTATCTTCTCATCTTAAGAGCAGTGAAGCAAACATTTCAAAAAATTGAATCTGGAAATAAACGGGTCTCTCACTGCTAGGGACGTATTTATGGTTGAGAAGACCTTTTTGAAGGATTAACTTGGGCCCAGAACCGAAGCTGCCTTGCTAAGTGCGAGGTCCCCCATTTGCTGACAGATTTCTCAGGGTGAGTCCATTCTGAAACGAGTGGAGCACACGGGATGAATCTTTTGCTTCAGGACATAGAGAATGTCACGTAAGAACCAACCCAAAGCTGTTCTTATTACTCATAGTCCCGGAGGAGAAAATAGTCTTGCTTTCTCTCTTGCATTCTCCGCAGACCCAGGCCATCAGTTCTCAGACCTCCATTTCTTCTCCATACACATCCCATAATACCTGGGCACATTGATTTCCCACCACCACCACCACCACCTCCTTTTCCCCCAAGCCCTCCCTTGGGTCTTCCTTCCCAGTGGCTCTTGACAACTTTCCTAACCCCCAATGCCCCATGTGGACACAGAGGTCCCCAATCCTCCCTGGGTTATAGAGTTTCAGTCTCCTCTAACGAAATGAGTGACTTGGAAAGGGTCAGAATCTTACCTGGAAGGCTTTGTGTTAGGCTCCTTAATAAAGGAGGACAGTGTGAAGAGAAAGAAGACCAACATAGCCAGGAGCAAAGACCACTGGACACCTTGGCCCAGGCGGCCAGATCTCCACAGGCAGGACTTCATGGTAGTGGGCCGGGCCCTAGAGGAAAGTTCTGCATATCCTGGGGCTTTGATGTAGACAGCAGAGTCTCACTGCTCAGGTCTCCTGGCCAGGTAGTGCACGCCCTCTTTACAATGAGCCACTCTGGTAAGTGCTGAGTCTATCAGTCTCTGCCAGGGAAAGGAGGAGCCATCTCTGCTGTTTTATGAAGGCTTACGGCCTGGCGTGGCTTGAAGGAAGAGAAACTCCCTGCATTCAATTTAGTTCACCTTCCTTTCCTTTGTCTCTGAAGCCAATTTCCGAATGTAGAACTTTATTAAAAACTTACGTTATACGCACCCTCATCTTCATTGGGTCACTTAACCTTCTTGCCTCATTTAAAAAAAAATGGGAAAAACAGAAGTCTCCACCTTGTGGGATTATCATGAAGACACCATACACAGTGCCTTGTTCGTGGTAGGCACCCGACATGTTCAACCCTCCCTGCTTCTCATCTGAAGTCGTGACCATTGCAACATACGCGGGCTCACTCCGGGCCAGGCACTGTGGAGTCTTCACGAGCACTAATGTAACCCTCCCAGCCACTCCAGGAGCTGGGTGCTATTTTAATCCCCAGTTTACAGTCAAGGAAGTTGTCTCTGCGAGTGAGCAGCGAAGCCACGATCCTGCAGCAAGCCACTGGCTTGGAGTCCAAAACCAACTGACCTAGAGATTGCATTCTTATCCACTGCACGGAGAAATCATTAACTCTGTCTTGATAAAAACAAACTGAAATGCACAAAACTCCTGGGAAAAAATTTACAACTCAGAGGAAATATATCAAGACCAGTTATAGAAAACTAAGAAACTTAAAAAAAAAATTTTTTTTGAGTTGGAGTCTCTCTGTCATCCAGGCAAGAGTGCGGTGGGGCACAATCATGGCTACTGCAGCCTCAACTTACTGGACTCAGGTCGTCCTTCCGCCTCGGCCTTCTAAGTAGCTGGGACTGCAGGTGCCTACCACCATGCCTGGCTATTTTTATTTTCATTTATTGTAGAGACAGGTGTCGCCATGTTGCCCAGGCTGGTCTTGAACTCCTGAGCTCAAGCAATCCTCTCGCCTCAGCCTCCCAAAGTGCTGGGATTACTGGTGTGAGCCACTGTGTCTGGCCCTATTTCCAGTGTTTTGAACTGTGGGAAAGGTGTCTCTTGGTAGGATAGGGCTTTGAAGATTTTGCAGCCTGGGTTCATTGCTCACACCTGACGGTGTGCATTTCTCCTAATGCAGAGCTTCCAGTTCTGTACCCAAAGCCCTTGGCCTTCATCCCTGGCATGCACCAATAGATGACTAAACCACCTTCTTCAGGGAGGATGAAATAGGTAAGAATATGCTTCTGAGCAGCTGAGAGTCATCTAGACAACTGCTGGGCTTCCTTTATCCTCACCATATGCTGTAACCCGTGGCACCATTCCAGGTCACGGCTGGGAGCAAGGAAATCTCTCTCTGTATTGATTCAGCCTCTCTTTCCTTCCCCTCGCCTCCCCTCCCTTCCCCTCCCCTCTCCTTCCCTCCCTCTTATTGCGCCTGACCTGTAAGTGCACATACATTGACGCTAAACATGTTCTGGATAGGCCTGTGTCAAGTCTCAACTCTTTGCCCTAACTGGCCATTTACCCTGAGTTATCCTATGCATTCGGCACGTGCAATTCTATTCCTACACTCTGGTGCCTGTTTGCAATGCTAGGCAAATGAAATGCTCAGTGGGAAGGCATTTGCTTACCCACAGCACTGGAATAGCTCTTTCATCTCACACTATGTTCTGAAGAAGGCACTGGCTGGCAGTACTCTCTGACTTCCACAGGGCATGGACACCTAGTTGAGCTCCTGGGTACCAGCTGAGCTACTGTGGGCAATCTGTGCCTTTCATGACTTTCAGGGTGGGTTGAACTTGGAGTTCTTGAGGCCAGCCGGTGGGGGTGGGATAATTCAGAGTTCTAGTTTCCTGGTTCTAGGGTTCCAGCCCAATACTGCTGTGGTATGTATCTGGGTAGAATGTGGGATTCAGAGAAATACATGTTTTAGGGGAAACTGACTTTCCAATTTTTTTTTTTTTTTTAGTTGGAGTCTCACTCTGTCACCCGGGCTGGAGTGCAGTGGCACACTCATGGACAACACAGCCTTGTCCTGCTGGGCTCAGGCAGTCCTTCCACCTCAGCCTTCCAAGTAGCCAGAGCTACGGGTGTATACTACCATACCCGGCGAATTTTCTATTTATTGTAGAGACGAGGTCTCATCAAGTTGCTCAGGTGGGTCTTGAACCCGTGGGCTCAGGCAATTCTCTCACCCTGGCCTCCTAAAGTGCTGGGATTACAGGCTAAGCCACCGAGCCCGGCCCCAATCTTTTTTTCAAACATCATCACAATTCTTGTGTTTGGTAAGATCTACCTTCTTCTCTCTGCTTTTAAACTAAAGCTTTGGACTTTAGTCTTTTTTATACACTAGCTGACAGGATTTGTGAGAACTCACATGCAGATAAGAGTAGTTAAAATATAATTTTCAATAAAAGGTAAAACATGCCTCCCAAATAAACATGGGGCCATAACATGTGTTAAAGATTTTATTCTACCCGCGAGAGAATCACGCAGATGTAATAACCAATTCAAAAGAGGAGTGCAAAAGCACAGATTAATTTACAGTAAGGGTTGTTAAAATGAATTTCAAATGGGAGCAAAACTTGTTTTTCCACAGGGAGAAGGAAAATCACAGTCAGGACAGAATTTTCTTGTCTATCAACAACCTACGGTTTGGAACTGTTAAATCACTCCAAGGCAATAGAAGGCTAAAATCAGCTAACCTGGAGGGGTGTCCTCTGCCAACACATACTTTTCCATGGGCTTGTAAGAGTTTTCTAGAATGAATTTGTCTCGGAATCACTCCAGGATTGGAATTCTTGAAAAGTGTCAGCCATTGGGTCTTCTCTGCTGTAAAATACACCTGAGGACTTGGAGGAAGGTTGGGTGATATGGGAAAAGTCCACTGCACTCCAGTCTGGGCGACAGAGTGAGACTCCATCTTAAAAAAAAAAAAACAGTCCGCTTTTAGGAGATAGTGTAGGGGAAGAAAAATAATTTTCCCTTTATCCTTCTAAATTCTCAGCTAGGGCCCCTATAACAAAAGACAGATTAGCAAGAGAAAAACAAGTTTAGTAACATGTTTATCTCATATATACATGAGAGACACCCAGGGAAATAAGCAAATTTCAAAGATGTGGCTTGGAACTCTAAAGGATGTGGGAGAAGCACATTATGGGAAAGTGATCAGGAAAAGCACAGGCAAACAAAAGGCTGCTTATGCAGATTTAACCACTGATAGTCTCTTGAAGGCCAGGTACAGTGGCTCAGGTTTGTGATCCCAGTGTTTTGGGAGGCCAAGGCAGAAGGATCGCTTAACCCAGGAGTTGGAGACTGCAATCAGCCATGATTGTGCCACTGCACTCCAGCCTGGGTGACAGAGCAAGACACTGTCTTCCCCAAACCCCCCAAAAAGAGTCTCTTGAGAAAACCAGACACAATAAATAAGATTAATTTCACCATTAAAGAAATTAAAGAAGAAAGAAAAATAAATATGTAAATATACTGTCTTTTAGCGTTACCTGCACAATGACCTTTACTGGCACTCATTTGTCTTTCAAGTGGATTTGAATTACCGTCTAGGGTCAGTTTCTTTCTGCCTGAAGAACTTCATTTAATATTTCTTGTAAGAACAGAACTTCCAGCAAAGGATTCTTTCAGTTTCTGTTTCATTTGCGATGTCTTTTATTTTATCTTCCTTTTTAAATGATCGCTTGATTCCCGGCTCGGCGGCTCAGCCTGTAATCCCAGCACTTTGGGAGGCTGAGGTGAATGGATTGCCTGAGCCCGCGGGTTCGAGACCCGCCCGAGCAACTTGGCGAGACCTCATCTCTACAATAAATCAAAAAAATTAGCCGGGCATGGTAGCGCATGCCTGTAGTTCCAGCTACTTGGAAGGCTGAGGCGGAAGGATCGCCGGAGCCCAGCAGGTCGAGGCTGTGGTGGCCAAGAGCGGCCACTGCACTCCAGTCTGGGCGACAGAGTGAGACACCAACTCAAAAAAAAAAAAAAAAAAAAATGATGGCTTGGCCTGTGAGTTTTTTTTACTGTTGCAAAACTTGCAAGTATCATACTGATATCAGTATACCTTTCAGAATCAGGAACCGGACATTCAATACAAGTGGGAAAATATGTTTTTTTACACAAGAATCAGTTGTATTTCTGCTCTCCAAAAGAGGGAATTAAGCCGGGCTTGGTGGCTCAGCCTGTAATCCTGCGCCTTTGGGAGGCTGAGGTGAGTGGATTGCCTGAGCCCGCAGGTTCGAGACCTGCCTGGGCAACTTGGTGAGACCTCATCTCTACCATAAATCAAAAAATCAACCGGGCGTGGCATGTGCCTGTAGTTCCAGCTACTCGGAAGGCTGAGGGGGAAGGATCGCCGGAGCCCAGCAGGTCGAGGCTGCGGTGGCCGGGAGCGGCCCCTGCACTCCAGTCTGGGCGACAGAGTGAGACTCCAACTCAAAAAAAAAAAAAAAAAAAAAAAAAAGAGGGAATTGACAAGCTAATTAATTTGTTCTTGCTCTTAGCAAACACCCGTGCTACTCAAATTCTTCCCACACTTTGAGTCAGGGCTTGCTTTTGAAGAATCTACATATCTTCACAACATCCAGACACTGTCACCTTTGTGTTTGAAGACACAGGGAAAGAGATGCGAAGAAGTCTTTCTCCGGGGCCTGCTCAGTGAGTCATATACACATTACATTGAAGGTTATAGATCGCACTGTGCCAGCTTTGAGCACCAGATTCAAGTAACATGGGTGCCCATTGTACTTTAATAATTTTGTGTTTGTGCCAGGCACGGTCGCTCCCAGCACTATGGGAGGCAAAGGCAAGAGGACTGGGCACCTTGGCGAGACCTCACCTCTATTATAAACTAAAAAATTAGCCAGGCATGGTGGCATGCAGCCTTCGTTCCAGCTACTTAAAAGGTTGAAGCAGAAGGATCACCTGAACCCAGCAGGTCGAGGCTGCGGTGCCTGTGAGCGTGCCACTGCACTCCAGCCTGTGTGAAGGAGTGA